CCACAGTGAGAAGCTTGTGTGACTTAGTTTCACACAGCTATTGTGCTCCCTGCTTGCTTCTTGCATTTAGAACATACACTTTGAAACAAATGCACAGGAGTGGAAACCTTTGCAAACTTCATGTAACTTGATGCTCTGGAATAGTGGAAGTTTTGGATCTTTGTGGGTGTTCAGAGCAATAACTCAGAAATGCTTAGAGTGTGAGCAGGAGCCTGCAAGAATTGGGAACTGGTCTCCTCATTTTCAAGCCATTGGGACAGGCTCTTTCTTGGTGAAGCAGCTTGTCAGAGATCAGGGGTGATGTCTTTTCTCTGAGAAGAAGCACATAGGTGGGAATGGCCCATAGCACCATTGGATGCATATTGCAGCCTTTGCAGGAGTGTTTTTGTATCCTTGTGTGCTGTCATTGGTGTGGCAAAAAGCAAGTGTCATGTTAATATGAGTGCGACAGAAAATGCTAAGGCTTTGTTCTCTCTCAGCGTCAGCGAAAGCGCCCGGGAGAGCCTCTTGAGTCCGGACCACCTCGGAAACGGAGAAGGCTGCTGCCCTCCATCGCAGGTGGAAGTTGGCAGACAGAGGCAAGAGGCCCAGAGGAAAGTGGTTCACCTGCTTTGGAGCCTGGTAAGAACAGAAACTGCTTCTGCGGGCTTGGAGTTGATTTGAACATGTGCTTTTGCCAGTTCCTAGGCCCTGTCCTGGTGAGGAAGGAAAACTTGGGCTTCAGGAAGCACCTGGTATGGCATCCCTAAACAACAAGCCCACTGGCCGCTGTTTTGGTTTGTTACTGACCTCTATACATTGGCCTCTAGTGGGAGATGAGCTGTGTAGCAAAGGCCCCAGGTGCTGCTCAAACACCTGGATGTGTGTGTGCCCTGAAGAGCTGGCAGTGACTGCAGCAGCCACAGTGTCGGTGGCAGGCTGAGTTAGGGATCTGCCAAGCTGGAGAAAGATGAAGAAAAGTTAGTCATTAGCTGTGGCCCATTCTTCAGGGGAGCATGGACAGCATGGTACTGTAAAATTATTATCCCCTCTAGTTTTGATTGTTTCTTTCTCCTGTGTGCTAAACATTCCCCTGTGTGAGAGGAATGATCTGTTGGGGTGAACGTCTCGTAAGCTGTTGTCACCCAACAGAACTTGTGAGGAGCTCAGGTACTCTTCCTCTTGTTTTGCCCCTTCTGAGGACAGGGCTGGCAATGCTCCCTCTGGACTATTGAGGGCAAAGCTTGAGTGAAATATTGGGCACATTCCTGAAACGTAGGGCACATTGAAATGAAGCACAGCCTATTCAACAGAGGCAGCCCATTTCATTGCTCTGCAATCTCTGACCTTCATTCTAATGTTCTCTTCTTTTCAGTTCATGGAGAATTTATAGTTGTATCAGGCAAATCATCGGAGCCTGATGTTGTCACTCTTGGTGATGATGATGAATCTCCTATGGTAAGTAGTGACTGGCACACTCCTCTCCATATTGCATGAAGATTAATTTTCTTGCCCTCTGGAATCTTACTAAGTCCCCTGGCCTCCAAGGCTGAAAGATGCCTCTGATGTAGCACTTTAGACACAATTCCCAGTCAACTCCAAACACACTCACAGACACTTCAGCATGAATGTGAATCTTGAAACATTTTACGAGGTACTTCTAGAAAAGATTTCAAGGGTTTGTTGTCACAGTGTTTTAGGGATGGTGAGGCAGTAGCACACAGACTCTCTGAGGGGTTGTCCAAGAGAGCAAGTTTTATTATTCCAGTTCTTCTTTTCTAGACAGGTCTGAGAGGTAAAACTCTAATTGGTCATTAAAGCAACACATCCCGGTCATTGGACAATTGGTACACCACCGCTTGACTTTTCTTGCAAGTAAACAACAAGGATCCTAAACAGCACCTGCAGAAGGTTGTTGTCCTTCTCCAAGCACTGTTTAGATTCCTCCTTCTGCTTTCTCAGGCCACAGTGAGAAGCTTGTGTGACTTAGTTTCACACAGCTATTGTGCTCCCTGCTTGCTTCTTGCATTTAGCATCCACACTTTGAAACAAATGCACAGGAGTAGAAACCTTTGCAAACTTCATGTAACTTGATGTTCTGGAATAGTGGAAGTTTTGGATCTTTGTGGGTGTTCAGAGCAATAGCTCAGAAATGCTTAGAGTGTGAGCAGGAGCCTGCCAGAATTGGGAACTGGTCTCCTCATTTTCAAGCCATTGGGACAGGCTCTTTCTTGGTGAGGCAGCTTGTCGGAGATCAGGAGTGATGTCTTTTTTCTGAGGAGATGCACTTAGGTGGGAATGGCCCATAGCACCATTGGATGCATATTGCAGCCTTTGCAGGAGTGTTTTTGTATCCTTGTGTGCTGTCATTGGTGTGGCAAAAAGCAAGTGTCATGTTAATATGAGTGCGACAGAAAATGCTAAGGCTTTGTTCTCTCTCAGCGTCAGCGAAAGCGCCCGGGAGAGCCTCTTGAGTCCGGACCACCTCGGAAACGGAGAAGGCTGCTCCCCTTCAGCGCAGGTGGAAGTTGGCAGGCAGAGGCAAGAGGCCCAGAGGAAAGTGCTTCACCTGCTTTAGAGCCTGGTAAGAACAGAAACTACTTCTGCGGGCTTGGAGTTGATTTGAACATGTGCTTTTGCCAGTTCCTAG